GGATTGAAGGTAAACGAAAAAACGGTAAATTTATGTGAACGGGAGCTTTCAAGCGGAAAATAAGTTAGTAATAATGCTAAGCAAAGGAGGAGTTTAAGTATTTAGGATCACTGATTAATGAATAAACTGAAGTAAACTATAAAAGCGGTAAGGCCAATTAATGTGCGGAAATGGTGAATAGAAATATCAAGTCAAGAAATGTATCTAGGCTCTCTAATATAAGACGATAATACGATCATCAAGCCACCCCTTTTGTATGAAGTGGAAACCTGGGCAGTTAATAATAAACTTAAAGAAACCTCACTCAGGTAGGAGAGGAAACTTTTAAGCAGAATATTTGGAGTGGTCATGATAAAACATCTCTATATTGAACCAAATATAGTAGATGTAGCTAGACCGGAAGATTGCAGTGGCTGGTGCACCTGCAAAGAACGCCGCAAGAAATAACAGTGAAGCATATAGGATGAAGAATTCCGGATTCCAAGAAAAAAGAAGGAGGCCGAAAAGAAGATGGAAAGATGCGTTTGTGGAAGATTTGAGTCGCGCGAATGTCAGAGACTGGAAGAAACGGGCATTAGACAAGAAGTGGTTTGTGGAACAAACCTATCAAGCTAAGCGCCTGAAGGCCTGTTTTATAGCTGCATATATATATATATATATATATAGGTGAAAAATTAAAGCTTCCGCCTTTTGTTGGGTACTTCGACAAGATTTAAGCAAAGAGGACTCTTTATACTTTTTTTAATTCTCTCTAGCTTTCAATGGACTTTGCCATCATCATCAGGAGCTGCAATTACAATGATAACAGTAGCAACAAAGGTGTAAAATGAATTTAAATTGACTCAACTTGCAGTAGTATGTGAGGATGTTGCTAATTGTTGTTTACGTATAAGATGAGGGAAACGTCCAGTAACATGGTGAGAGCTGAATAGATTGCACAATAGTCAAAATTTATACAAAACATTACAAGAACAAGTTAAAAACAGATTAAAAATTATTTAAAAAATTTTAAACATTACATCGTGAAATTATTGTAAGTATTGAAAGATACTGACATTGACATCCTTCGGCCTTCTGTCAAAGGGTTTCATGTCACTCATCAATTCATCATTCCATGACCACTAATTTGTGCAATCATCAGGTGGTTTCACGATGTAATGTTTAAAATTTTTTAAATAATTTTTAATCTGTTTTTAACTTGTTCTTGTAATGTTTTGTATAAATTTTGACTATTGTGCAATCTATTCAGCTCTCACCATGTTACTGGACGTTTCCCTCATCTTATACGTAAACAACAATTAGCAACATCCTCACATACTACTGTAAGTTGAGTCAATTTAAATTCATTTTACACCTTTGTTGCTACTGTTATCATTGTAATTGCAGCTCCTGATGATGATGGCAAAGTCCATTGAAAGCTAGAGAGAATTAAAAAAAGTATAAAGAGTCCTCTTTGCTTAAATCTTGTCGAAGTACCCAACAAAAGGCGGAAGCTTTAATTTTTCACCTAACTGGTTTAGACGACAATGACCACGTCTCAAAATATATGTATATATATATATATATATATATATACAATTAGGTGAAAAAGCTGATGAAAACTGGATCCATGGATCCATGGTAGCAAAAGTTACTATATGTTCTCATTAACTTAGTTAATAACACTCAGCAACGATCTCGCCTACTTTTGTAAGTAATTTCAGATCAAGAGGAGGAATTCATATTTTTTTGCTCTAAGAAGCTTAGAATACGCAATGAATGAAAAACACTTGTTAAACGTCAACTACTCTGCTATTTAGTGCTATATTGGGAATCATATGTTGATCCCCAACGAATCTTTATCCTTCAAAAAAGAATAGTCACACTATTATTCTCATTGCATCATCTAGAGTCTTGTCGAAAAACGTTTAGTGATGAAAAACTCTACTAGCATCATTGCTCATGCTAGAGACGTGCCTTCATGTGAAATAATATCCTTCCAAATTCACCTACCTTAAAGAGTCCCAGGATACAATCTAAAGAATAATAGCAAAGTTACATGGAACAGCTCTAGCCTCGGCACATACCGAGATTACCTATGCTTATTTATCTTCAATAATTTGGCCTCCGAGTTAAAAGCCATCAACTACTTAAGAAGTCTTCAAAAACAACTTTTAACATACTTACACCCTAGTGTTTTTACTCTCTGCAAGGGTTTTATAATTCTTAGTAATTACATATCTATTTTATTGTTTATTCTACTTATTATACCTTTATGCTGCATACTTTTTCTATTCTCCTATTTATACTTCTAAAAAAAGATACCGTTTTTGCAACAGTAGATAGGGTTTGTATGTTCTGGGACGCCCTTGAGCGCCGACATTCGGTGCCAAACGACCTTGAGAGCTGACCTTCGGTGCCAACCTTGAAATGTGACCTTGAAGTGTGACCTTGAAACGTGACCTTGAGTTTCCGAGTGACCTTGAGTTTTCGAGCGTGCTCGAGGTCATATATGTTCAAGGTCACACTTCAAGGTCACTCGGAAACTCGGGGTCACTCTCCAAGGTCACATTCTTGAGTTTTTTAGATGCACCAATAATCTCATTTTCATGAATGTCATTGAAAAATATGTTAGCCTGACTAGTAGGATTCCTGCCTTCAATAAAATGATTACGAGTAGACGGATCAACAAGAACACTATTAAAAAAATCTGCAAATGCATTGACAGCACAGTAAGGATCGTTCAGTGAGACGTCATTGAACTTCATTTTACCTAGTAGTTCGATTGTTTGTGTGCATGAAACTCCAAAAATGTTTAGGATCTTGAGAGATGGAAATCTCAACATTACGTGTATAATTGTTTGTACTGTTCATGTAGTTGGTTATTGTGACTCTTTTTGTACTTCTTGTATAACTTTGCTTTATGCTTGACTTTCCTAATACTGGTGTACCACGAAGGGATACTGATCTGATCTGCATTATCATGGTATAAACAACCCCACTCCTATCCTTTGAATATTCATTAACAGCAATAAAATTTCACGTACAACGCATTTCTAACTATCCCTTTTTGTTTCAGGTATGAATCATCCGTGCGACAAGTGTACGCGATGTCAGTTGCGTGCGACGATATGGTAATGTCTCCGACCGAGACACTCTCATAATTTATTAATTCTTGCAGGAATCTACGTGCAATATCCTACGCGATCGATTGCCATACAAAATTTTTATTCAAATGATACTTTTTACATTTTTATGTGGTGCTAACCTTTTGTCTATTCAAATTAGGCTGTGGTTTACCAATGCACCGAGAAATAGTAATACTGTAATGTTTTGTGTACAAGGCGTTTTCAAAATATGTCATAAAAATTCATCGGGTGATTTTTTCCACCGTTTTAAGACCGTATTATTTATCCTGTCCTTTGGCGATTTTCGAAAAGAGTAACGGCTTTGATTAGAAAACAATCACATGTGAAGCTCCTTTTTCCACAAAAAACATTTCAAATACAGGGTGGTCAATATACAAATGACATTTGTCTGATATTGCTTTTCATTCATAATTTGTAAGATGAAAAAAAATACGTATTTTATTTCGTTTCACAAATATTCAAGATACAAACCAGTCAGTTTTACATATCATATCGGCCACCCTGTATACCACCATTGTCGTAGCCAACAAGATCGACCAGCGAACTTTTCCACATCTACCAGAGTCGTTTACAACTATTGAGTTAGATATTTGCAGCGGGTAACTTTATATTGGATCTAGGATCGCCTTGGGAATTGTGGAATCTTCACCTTGTGCTTTGGAATATTATTGTTGTGTAAGTGCCTTCAAATCTAATTGAACTCGGAGAAATAAAACACTGGGCCCTCAGAAATACTCTTGTAATTACAAAAGTACTTTTCTCCCTCAATAACAATCGACACAGGCTAAAACGAAAACGGAAAGCGGATATACAGGGTGGCTCATCGAAAACGAAACAGACGCATTTACCGGCAGCTTAGTTTTTTTTTTTTGGAAAAACGCTCAGAGCCGTCGATTTTGTTTTCGACGGGGGACACAAGTTGGGCAAAAAATCACGTTAACACGTGCAGCCCCCTGGGCGGGGGTGACACCACCCCCAAAATCTTAAATGGAAAGGGGGGTCGAGTGATACCTTATTTTAAAGGTGGCCATTTTCAACATTTACTTGCCCAACGGATCAGTTCATTCTTCATTTTTAAATTACTTTGCTGCCAAAAGTATTGATCTCCACTAATGATGATGTTTTAGTTTTATTTAAGCTTTAAACAATAAATCTTCAAAACTACTGACTTGAAGTACATTAATTTTATATCATTATAAAGAGAATTGAAAGACCTTTAAAACAAGGTATCACTCGACCCCCCTTTCCATTTAAGATTTTAGGGTTGGTATCACCCCCGCCCAGGGGGCTGCACGTGTTAACGTGATTTTTTTCCAAACTTGTGTCCCCCTCGAAAACAAAATCGACGTGTCAGAGTTTTTTCCAAAAAAAAAAAACTGAGCTGGTAGTAAATGCGTCTGTTTCGTTTTCGATGCGCCACCCTATATATCAAATTTCAGAAGTCAAAATGTACAATTCTAAAAATGTCTTATGCTACCACAAGTACACGTCACAAAATAGTTGACTATCTAACATTCAAGGGAATCAAGTATATAACACTTATATTGCAAGATCAAGTCCAATACTAGGCAAGTCATGGTCTTGGTCTTGATCTTGCGAAGCCCTAAAAGGTAATAGTGAAAATAGTAAACTTTATTGGTTCTGTAGGATCATTTACCACGACATAGTAATTTTATAAAAATACTTTTGTGAACGATGTTCGGACCTTTATATAGGGTGGGCCATCCATGGGTTTATTTTTGAGATTGTTATCAAACTACACTCTTCAATAATATACTTTATTCAAACGAATACACGTTCCGATTATTTATGAAAAACAATTTCTGTTAAATGTCTGCCGCGGCTGGCCTGGAAATAGTCCATCCTTTTAACCCGATTTTGAAGCACATTTTCGATAGTTTGTTGGTCTATTTCATCAATAGCTCGACGGATATGTTCCTTAAGAACGTCAATTCTTTGAGGATCGTTAGTGTAACAGCGTTCCTTAACAGCACCCCATAGGAAGTAATCCACGGACGTCAAATCACAGCTGCGGGCTGACCAATGAATGCCTCCAAAGCGGCTGATAACGAATTTAGTGTTTGTTTCACGGCTGGTGTGGCATGTTGCGTGATTCTGCTGGAACCAGAGATTTTGCAAGCGCATGTCGTCTAATAGTGGCCACAAAAAATTCCTTAAGATGTCTCTATAGCGTTCCCCGTTAACCGTCAAGCTGTTACCAACGGTCAAAAAGATACCAACTTAAAAAAAATCAACATAAATTGTTAGTTGGGAAGCGTTACAGATAACCGCTTGGTCCCCTAATTTCCACATTGAAGTTCAAGTTATAAAGTAGATCAAGCTATTTCGTCAACTTTCAAGCAATAAAAATGTCTACAGCAGCACCGCCCAGGAACCTATTTCATCACGCAGACATACACATTACCAAACACCGATATAACATTAATTTAATTAAAAAATATATAATGAAAAAACGACTTATCGAAGCCGTACATCTGATGAATGAGTCAAAACATCATAACTTTCATTCATCATGAAAAGTATAACATTTATTATCTTCTTAACTGACTGTTTTCGTTTCTCCGACAAGCAATTAACAGCGATAAGCGCCAGAGATTTACAAAAATAGTTTTAGATTAGGGTTCGTGGACATATATTGGTGACGCAATCGGAAATTATTTTTCAAGATGTAATCTCGATCCAAGACAGAAAAAAGCTTCCGATTATGTATGTTACTTCAGATGGTCCGCAAAAAATTAAGCAAAGTGGACCCGAAGAAGTTTTTAACGCTATCCAAATGATCATTGATAGTTCAACAAGACTTAAAGTTGGTAAGGTAAGTTAAACCAAAATTTGTAGTCAGTAAGTAAGTTTCATTAAGTTGGATATTTAAAACGCACATGACAACAGCGCGTCGGTCATCATCACTCTTATCGAACCGGGAATCGATCGCGAACGCTAACAGTGGTTAGTATGTTGTTTTGTTTTTGTTCGCGTTTGATTTACGACGTTCTAGAATCAAGAGTTCGCCGACATGTTGTTAGTTCACGCTGGAGCTCGTCAGAATTCAAATCTTGCAGCTCAAATTTATCGCCACAGATTTCGCCAACGGGTACACCCAGGCAGAAGGACATTTGTGCAAGTGTAGCAAAGACTTAGAGATACAGTGTTCAGCACACTAATATTGGCACTCGTGAAAGACAGGTTACTTTAGAGCAGGAGGAACAAATTTTAAATATCGTGTAAATCGATGCAGATATCAGCACACGTGGGCCCAAGAGAATCCTAATACCATTCGTGGAGGTCGTAATAGCTACTTATATGCTATCTCGAATATCGTATACTGTAATAATTACGTTAATGTGAGAAATGCATCTGATATTCTTTTACCAGTGGATAGACACCACCCTCCGATAGAAGTGCTCTTTTCACTTCCTACACCAGTATTATGGATTCGGATTTTTCTTTTCCATCTGACATCCTCGAAATTAATATTGCTTGTGACCTGTTTTATAACAAATTGCATAACGCTTTCGATAGGCACGTTCCATGCACATTAACAAAGGATAACAAATACCCTCCCTGGTTTTACCTCGTGCAATAATCTTTAAAATATCAAAAAAATAAGCGATATCAGATAACTTTGGTTAGATCTGACGATGAAGCTTTCAGTAACTTGCGAAGAGCCATCAAAATCGATATAGACTCGGCGTTTTCTATTTTTCTTGCGAGAACTGAGCGTGCCCTTGCGCAAAAGCCCAATCAATTTTGGTCCTTTGTTAACTTGCGCAGCAACAGATCAGGCATACCCAACAATATGTCTTTGGAAAATGAGGAGTTCAGGAATACACAGGAAATTGTTGATACTTTTGCTAAGTATTTCCAGTCCACATACATCACGTCCTCCACGCATGTTTTAAGCAGTACTCCGCGTCAGTTCTGGATAATGGCGGGCAAGTTGATGTAATCTATACTGACTTTTCTAAAGCTTTCGACCGTTTGGATCACGGTGTTCGACTGCAGATGCTGTCTAAGTAACATCTAGACTCTTAGCTTTCTTTCATTCATACATCAGTAATAGACAATTATGTGTGGACTTCCGTGGATATAAGCCTGGTGCAGTTTTAGCTACATCAGGGGTGCCCCGAGGTTCTGTTCTGAGTCCTCTATTATTTTTAATTTTTATCAATGATGTTACAACAGACTTGCGTTGTGAGTACCTGCTATATGCCGATGACCTCAAAATCTTTAATAGCGTGTGCTGATCAGAAGACGTTTAAGGTTACAGGCTGATCTGAATGTTATTGATCACGGGTGTAAGGTAAATAACATGCACTTGAATGTCAATAAATATACTTCTATGACGTTTACACGCAGGGTGGAACCGACATGTTTTGATTTTGAAACCGGTAGCAATGTTCTTTGTCGTGTTAGTATCGTCAAGGATTTGGGCGTATTATTCGATCTAAAGCTTTCTTTTATTGATCACATTAATGCAATAATAGCAAAAGCCTTTAAAAATCTTGGTTTGGTTCCAAAGTTAGAAATCAGAAAGGCAATACCTTGCGGTTACAGACTCTAAGCAAAAAAACAGTTCGCACTAGAAGGAATTTGCGTCAGATTAAAAGAGTAAAAAAGGGTTTTTCCTCACAGGGCAACCCTACGGCCGCAGGTCTTCCGCTGAGGCTTCATCAAGTCCCAACCAATAAGGGTTTCTACCCGAAGCCGTTGGGGGATGCAAAATTAATAAGCCATTATCATACGTTTATTTTAGCCATAATCTCAGCTTACTAGCTGATGTTATTAGACAGATTAAAGTTAGTTATAGTATTGTAGTAAACCGTTCTAGTGAGATCAACCTCAAACCGGTACCTATACAAAAATGTTAATAATGTAAAAATGGAATATTTAAAATTATCACCTTATCATTCACACATTAGAAGACGTCGAGCAATTATGTATGTGACAGTAAATTTAGATCAAGATGACCTTACAGAAATCAACGATAAATTTCAATCATTAAAAGACAAGGAAAACGAACTTATAATAGCCATCAATAATAAAAAATCACATTCGCTCAGCTCATTTCACAAAAATTTGAGAACGATGTGAAAGTCATTCAAAACTATGTACGATTGCTATCAGAAACTGTCTAGAAGTCAATATATGATTACGAATATGAAAGTTCGATTTTTAGACTATTTATTCCTTTACGAGAAATTTTAGATTATCTCAGACCGATCCAAGGCACAATATCCTTATCACAGAAACAGATGACAAATGTAGCTAGTTTTAGTCTTGAGGAACTGGCCCATATTAAAAATTACCATTCTCATGTATACTAAGTGACATATAAATCCGAACACCCAGTTTAAATGATTTTATTTTAATAAAAGTTGGTGAATGTATCTATCTTACTGTAAATAACAAGTGAAAAAATTTTCAGCCTTATCAGTTGGACATTCCGGTTCTTATGCTGCTTTTTTTTAATTCACTAACGCTTTAAAAATGAATATTTCAGCCGCAGTAAAGAATCAACGTTGGCGGATTTTGGTTCTTGACATCCTTTACGATCGGTTACGATGCCTAGAGTACGGAGACCTGTACGATTTCGTCAACTTAGTGAGTTTGACAGGGGCCGTATAGTGGGACTTCGGGAAGCTGGACTTTCTTTTCGGGCAATTGCAGTTAGAGTGCAAAGAAGTGTAGACACTGTGGTTAGGTGTTGTCAGGCATGGCTTCGAGAGGGCCGTACGCAAAGAGCAAGGGGCACTGGACGCCGCCGTAGAACAACAGACCGCGAAGATCGCCGCCTAAGATTATTGGCCTTAAGGGACCGTTTCTCCACTACCAGGTCCATTGCAAATGAATGGTTTGCGGAACACGGAAGGCCTATTGGCATGCGAAGTTTTTACCGACGAATGAGAAGTTTTGGTTTGTTTTCATACCGGCCACACTGGGTCCTCCCTTTAACTCGAGAACACCGACGTAATCGACTTGAGTGGTGCAGACACCGGTCACTCTGGGATCAGGAATGGAACAGTATTGTCTTTAGTGACGAGTCTCGATGGTCGTGCCAGAGTTAGAAGGCGATGTGGTGAAAGGAGATCCACAGTTTTTTGTTGAAAGACATGTTCATCACACTGTTGGAGTTATGGTTTGGGGTGCTATAGCTTATGGTTCCAGGTCACCTTTAATCTTCATCAGAGGTAACATGAACGCGCAGCGTTATATCCACGAAGTTCTAGAACCCCATCTTTTACCCTATCTTGATCCCCTGGCAGATCCAACTTTCCAACAAGATAATGCCCGACCACATGTTGCAAGAGTCACAATAGACTTCTTTTAACATAATGATGTCACATTGTTACCATGGCCACCAAGATCTCCCGGCTTATCCCCAATTGAGCACGTGTGGGATATGATGGGTAAGGAGATTGCTTAATTTGCAACGTCCTCCTCAGACTCTAGAAGCACTTCGAGAGGAGTTGGTGGTTGCCTGGAATGAGATACCACAGGAGGACATTGACCACCTGATCAGAAGCATGCCTAGGCGCGTTGGAGAATGCGTAGCACATCAGGGTGCATCCACACATTATTAAAGGTCAAAGGGCTTTAAAGCAGTGCAATCATTTTGAAATTTTTATCATTTACTTATTATGCTTCATTAAGTACTTATACAAAATTTTATAAAAATAAAACCGTTTAAACTGAGTGTTCGGATTTATATGTTACTTAGTATAAATAACACTCTTATAATAGGTGTATTTGTTGTTATATTGTTTGTGCTTGTGGTAAAATTAAAAAAAGTTCTGTAAAGAGAAAAAATCATCTCGAAAGTCAAATCAGTCTATTGAGATCGATAAGAACGAGGACGTCCTAAAAGTTTAAGGGAGGAGTTATATACATCATCACCCTGTATTTTATACAATATTATAATTATTACCCGGTACTTGTATTTCTTGCTAGCATTGTCGCTACGCTATGGAATCTTATCTCGCGTCTTGAAGTTCACATGTTAACATCCTCTGTATCAGCACATTATATTTCTATTGCATTGTACTAAATCCATGTGTGAGGAAATCTTGTCACCTCTTGTCTAACCGTCCTGTTCTAAGCATCGTCGTGACAAGGTTTCACAAAAG